GGTGAAGAAGAGGGAGGAGTAGTCGCTCGTGCTAGAGTACAGCCAGGATATGGGGAGCGCCATAAGCCAATTGCGTTTCCCAGCCTAAAAATCCGAGAAATGGAAATGTCAGGGCAGCACCGTAGAGTCGGAAGCAGTCTTCAGTTAACGGTAGGACATCGTGGCTATCCAGCTCCAGCGCCAATGCAAGTTGCTGGGACTAATCAAGTCTACTACAGTGAGGGCATAAGAAATATTCATAATAACAGTAGTGAAGGCAATTATTCACGTTATTGCAACACCGAAGGCACGGTCCAGACTGAAAATGTCAGACAACAGGGAAATAACAACAAAACCAACGGAAACAATATAAATTTTAGCAAATATAAAGACACCATCAATTCCAGCCGAGATGGAGAAGAATCGAACAGACGGAATGGCAGACCACCAGACTTGAACGAAGCTTCGACTTCTACAGGAGTCGATCAGCATTACAAGGCATCTGTAGAGGCCAGTATTGGGGCAGATAAACTAAATTTAAGCGGCTCGACTGGCGTTTCAGGTGGCCAAAGTCGAGTCATCTACGGTGCCTATGAAGATCGAGGAGGGCAGATGCAAAGAAAGACGCCACAAATTGGAACCACGACCTCTGCGTCACTAAGGGGTAGAAGTAATACAGGACCGCCAGACTTATGGCCTTCCAACTCACTTCAGAGGTGCCTTAATCTGTTTTGTTGCTGTGGCCTGCTGAGATGTTGCTGGATTAAACATGACATGATCTGTCGGCGCTATTATCCAAGTAAATTAGGTGAGATGATTATTCTGTTTCATATTCAGTAATAGGGATCAATGGTTGGCACAAATTAATAAGTCTTTTAAATCTCTCTTATTCACGCCGTAATTGCTGTTGGGTTCCTGGTTAGCACCAATACCTCCTTTACACGAAATTATTTTATCTCATCCATTAAGCCTATTTCTGTGACTATATATATATTTATTTATTCATTTATTTATTTATTCATTTATAAGTTCCCTTTGGATAATCAAATGGCTGCTTATAATTTAAGAAAACAAAGTGAGTAAGGATCCATGAATCACCAAATACTATTTGATTACCTTTTTGTAACTTTATTCCCTTGATCTTGTTTTACTAGTTATTCGTAAATATAATATAAAAGAAAACGATAAGTTATTTATGACGTGAGAACTGCAATATCCCAGCTTAGTTTTAGGATTATGAGAATATGAAGATGACAGCAGGTAAAACAATTTTATGTTGCTCCATGCTCCAAATAGTTAAGTTGATCTAACTGATAAAAGTTTGTGGTATAGATCAGGTAGGAAGACAAAAAAGGCATGTATGTGGATACTAGAAAAATTCTCTTTCAACTAGCTTTTTATTAAAAGG